ACCTTCAACCTCTACCCAAAAGACCTTCAATCTCAACCCCAAAAGACCTTCAACCTCTACCCAAAAGGAGACCTTCAACCTCAACTCCAAAAGGAGAACCTTCAACCTCTACCCCAAATGGAGACCTTCAACCTCTACCCCAAAAGCAGACCTTCAATCTCAACCCCAAATGGAGACCTTCAATCTCAACCCCAAAAGACCTTCAACCTTTATCCCAAAAGGAGAACCTTCAACCTCTACCCCAAAAGGAAACCTTCAACCTCTACCCCAAATGGAGACCTTCAACCTTTATCCCAAAAGGAAACCTTAAATCTCAACCCCAAATGGAGACCTTCAATCTCAACCCCAAAAGACCTTCAACCTTTATCCCAAAAGGAGAACCTTCAACCTCTACCCAGAAGACCTTCAACCTCTACCCCAAAAGGAAACCTTCAATCTCAACCTCAAAAGACCTTCAACCACTGTCCCAAAAAGAGACCTTCAACCTCTACCCAAAAGACCTTCACCCTCTACCCAAAAGGAGAACATTCAACCTTTATCCCAAAAGGAGACCTTCAACCTCTACCCCAAAAGGAGAACCTTCAACCTTTATCCCAAAAGGAAACCTTAAATCTCAACCCCAAAAAACCTTCAACCTCTACCCCAAAAGGAAACCTTCAACCTTTGTCCCAAAAGGAGAACCTTCAACCTTTATCCCAAAAGGAGAACCTTCAATGTCTACCCCAAAAGACCTTCAACCTCTACCCCAAAAGGAGAACCTTCAACCTCTACCCAGAAGACCTTCAACCTCTACCCCAAAAGGAAACCTTCAACCTCTACCCCAAAAGGAAACCTTCAACCTCTACCCCAAAAGGAAACCTTCAATCTCAACCTCAAAAGACCTTCAACCACTGTCCCAAAAGGAGACCTTCAACCTCTACCCAAAAGACCTTCAATCTCAACCCCAAAAGGAGACCTTCAACCTCTACCCAAAAGACCTTCAATCTCAACCCCAAAAGACCTTCAACCTCTACCCCAAAAGGAGACCTTCAACCTATGTACAACCTCTACTCCAAAAGGAGAACCTTCAACCTTTATCCCAAAAGGAAACCTTCAACCTCTACCCAAAAGACCTTCAACCTCTACCCCAAAAGCAGACCTTCAACCTCTACCCAAAAGACCTTCAACCTCTACCCCAAAAGAAGACCTTCAACCTCTGTCCAACCTCTACCCCAGAAGGAGACCTTCAACCTCTACCCAAAAGACCTTCAACCTCTACCCCAAAAGGAATCCTTCAATCTCTACCCCAAAAGCAGACCTTCAACCTCTGCTCCTGCAGGAGAACCTTCAACTTCTCAAAATGCCTTTATCCTCATCCTGAAGGGGCGATTTATGCCCCAGATCTCCAATTCTGCACCCAAAGGATAAGCGACCTTGCAAGCACGAGAGAACAGGAAAATCCACCCCCCTACAGCCCCTCTACCCCCAAATTTTGCACCCTAAACTCACACCCCATCTTTTGGGGGCAGATCCGGCTCACCCAAACCTCCATGTTGCTGTTGATGGTGATGAAAGCCTCACGGAAGAAGACAAAAACAGCCACAGCAGCTGGGATCCCATCGTCCCGACACTCGCTGACCTCCACCACCACCTTGAACCAGTGGGGCGACCTCTCGTCGCAGAGGGCGGCCATCTTGTAGGTGCCGCTGTCGGGCAGCCTTCCTCCCACCCCATCAAACGTGGTCACGGAGGCTCCAGGAGAGATCTGACATCTTCCCTCCTGCTTGAGGCATCGCTGCGTCCCTTCCCGAGCCACGCAGACCTGGTGTGGGGGGCAACGGGTGGCCTCGCAGGTGAGGCCCTGTGATGGGTGGCAGTGGCATTTCGTGGTGCAGTTGTTGGTGGTGATGGTCTCACCCGCCTGGAAAGGAAGAACTCCAAGGTTAATTAGTCCTTTATCCCTGTTTCCCCCTGTTCTTTTCTTTCATGCTTTTGGAAAGGGACAGAGGTCCCGCGTGGAGGGAGAATAAAATAAGACTGATCTGGGGAAATGCGAGCAACTTGAGGAATGAACTCTGCAGCACCAAGAAGAAAAGGGCTTTCAACCTCTAAGCCAAAAGGAGACCTTCAAACTATCCCAAAAGACCTTTGACTTCAATCCCAAAAAGGAGACCTTCAAACTGTCCCAAAAGACCTTCAACTTCAATCCCAAAAGGAGACCTTCAACCTCCATCCCAAAAGGAGAACTTTGGCCCCTGTCTCAAAAGAAGACCTTCAACCTTAATCCCAAAAAGGAGAACTTTGGCCCCTGTCCCAATAGGAGACCTTCCACCTCTATCCCAAAAGACCTTCGACTTTAATCCCAAAAGGAGACCTTCAAACTATCCCAAAAGACCTTCAACTTCAATCCCAAAAGGAGACCTACAAAATATCCCAAAAGATCTTCTACCACTATCCCAAAAGACATTTGAACTCTTATCCCAAAAGAAGACCTTCAACCTCAATCCCAAAAGGAGAACTTTGGCCCCTGTCCCAAAAGGAGACCTTCCACCTCTATCCCAAAAGACCTTCGACTTTAATCCCAAAAGGAGACCTTCAAACTATCCCAAAAGACCTTCTACCTCTATCCCAAAAGACGTTTGAACTCTTATCCCAAAAGAAGACCTTCAACCTCTGTCCCAACACAAGATCTTTAACCTCCACCCCAAAAGACCTTCAACTTAAATCCCAGACCTTCCACCTCAATCCCAAAAGGAGAACTTCGGCCCCTGGCCCAAAAGGAGACCTCCAACCTCAATCCCAAAAAGGAGATCTTTGGCATCCAAGAATTGACACCCCAAACCCATCAGATCAGTTTGTTGGCCAAACAACCCTATAAAGGATCGTGTCCCTGAATCCCTCCTATCATCAAGATGGGGCATTTGATCCTATCAAGGACTGACACCCCAAATCCATCACATCATTGAGATGGGACACCCAAAAACTGACACCCCAAACCCATCACATCATTGAGATGGGACACCCAAAAACTGACCCCCCAAACCCATCTCTTCAGCTTGGTGGGCCAAACAACCCTATAAAGGATCGTGTCCCTGAATCCATCATGGCATCAAGATGGGACATTTGATCCCATCAAGGACTGACCCCCCAAACCCATCACACCATCGAGCTGTAACACCCAAAAACTGACCCCCCCAAACCCATCACATCATCTTGATGTCCCAACCAACCCCATAACGGATCCCATTTCCCCACCACATTCCCTTCTCCATCCAACAACCAACCCCCTCCCCAACCCTCCAGTAATTCCCTTCGACCCCCCCGACCCACAAATCTCCGACGCCGTCCCCATCCCGAAGCTTTCAGGGTCCACCTCACCTTGAGATACCTCCCCTGGTGGACGCAGCCACACTTCTCCAGGGACACGCAGGAGCTGCCATCGAAGAGGAAGCCGTCGTCGCATTGGCATCCCTCGAAGCAGGGCCAGCTGCATGGCGTTGGCACGGAGAGGCTGGCACAGGTGAAGTCACAGGTGCGGGTGCAGAGCTGGTAGTGGCTGCGGGGTGGGCAGGAGAGGGCTGGAAAAGAGGGGAGAAATTGGAATTATTTGGGTTTTTTTCATGCTAAACCCGATTTGGGGTGATGGGAAGCGGCTCCCAGTTTGAAAGCCAAGGGTGCGTGGTGGATTTTGGGGTGGTGGTCTGCAAGGCGGATCAAGGGGGGTCAGTGGGTTTTGGAGAAGGTCTGTGACCATTGATGGGGTTTTATTTTGGTGTGGGTTTGTGGGGTTTGAAAGCATTTGGGGACATTTGAAAGCATTTGCCACCAAATCCACAAGATTG